ATATTTTGGGACTGAAAGAACAAATGAAGGAAATGGCGATTTAGTAGAGGAATATTTTTCAGCAAAACTGTCAGATTCCAGTTCTCAAGAAACTTGTAGGACTTACATGAGTTGTGATTTTTTACTCCAGAAAGATTCAGCGTACAAACAACGGTGAGTTTTTGTTACACTTGTATGGTTTTAGTTTATAGGTAAATGAAAGTAATGCAAGTCCCTTTCAATTGGTTTATACATCAGTTTTGATATTTGATTCCTGACTTGTTCTTTTCTAGTATGGTTAGGCTTTCGTAATATTCAATAGATTTGATAGCATTAGATTTAGATGCTTTGCGCTTCAAGTGGGTCATTTGTGAAAATTCTTACGTGAATTTCTATATTTTCATATAACAGCATAGGTAGTTGAGAAGCAACATTATACCAGGTGCCATCTATTCTCTTCCCTTCTGACAATATTCTGAAATGCAGGGAAGTAGTGTTGCTGCTGAGTAGCCTAGACAAGCTGTACGTGTTACTCTTGGGTGTATCTACTGACGATCAAGGTTAGACTAATCAGCTCTCTTCCTCTGCTTATCACGTCATAAGTTTTGCCGATACTGAGTTCTTAACGTCCATGGGTCTCTGCAGGGAGCACCTTAAGTGTACTGTGTTCCCATGGAATCAACGTTTTACAAGACGTTTCAGTTGGTCTAGGACTTCAGCTTGTGAGGTTAGTCTCTTTCTGGTTTGGCTTTGTAAATTTGATTTCTTGTCCATGTCCCTGAAGGTTCCTTTTTCATTCTGGATAGGCTACGCTTTGGGGTGGAAGCAGAATACATTTTCGTGACAAAATGCATTGAGAAAACAACAGAATTACTCAATATCATACAAGTTGTTGATTCTCATGCTACAGTAGCTAAATGTTCTCTAGGAAGGTAAGCTATAGGACTTTTACCCCCGGACTTGGTTCTGCAAACTTTCACTGTTTTTTACTTTATAATCTTTTCTCCGATGTTAATGGCAGTTTGGAGAGTGTTCAGGTGGACTTGTTTGAGAAAGAAATATGTGGAGGTTTGAAGATGAGTATTTTCCAGTACAATATTATTCATTTTCAGAGCAGCACTCTCGGAGGTATAAATTTTTCCTTTCGTAAGTATATATTATCCTCAATTGAGCATAAGTGGTTCACTCAAATTTCCATCTTCCTCCTGAAACCACACGTGAAAACAGACTTGAAAATCTGCAAATCTGTGGTTAGGCAAAATCAGTCATTCATGTTCGCGTCGGAGACGTCAACTTGAACATTGTCTCTGTAACAGAATAGGCCATATCCCCTTCGTCTTTATCGCTCTGGTTTTGATTATGTGACATCAAGAATGTTATTAGACCGAGTATTATCTGTCCCTTGCATGTTTGGAATACATTGCACTCTGCATCATGAACCATTAAGTAGCACAGTTTCATTACTATCGTCTTATTTATGTTCACAGCGTCCAAAATCTCCAATTGAAGATGTAAACACTGATTGCTCACAATGATTTTTGTATGATTAAAACTGAACAGAAGTATCGTGGCTTTGGCGGTCGCTATTTGTGGCCGGTGGACGTCTCTTTATATGCAATGAGGACTTCACACAACTTAGTTCTCGAACAGCACATCCTTCTTCTTCTGCTCCATATTTCTTGCTTGACTCGTGCTGCTCCATTTCCGACATATACGAGACGGTAATAAGCTTCTCCATTCTTCTTCCGCCCCATTTGCTCGCACTTGATCGAAATCAGATGTCAACTTGAACATTGTCTCTGTAACAGATCGTTGAACCGCAAGGACGTGTTGTGTCATTGAAGATGAAAGAGAACAAAAGAGTGGATTCAGTAACATGGAAGCTCAAGTGGTGTAGCATTGAGAATACACTCAAGTTTGTGTCTCTGCTCAAAGCTCTTCACCCTAATTCGCAGCAATGGCCGTTAGCTGTAAGATACAGTAGTAGTAGATAAGTCTTCGTTTTGTACTTTTTTCTCTTATCTAGTCATGTAAATATACACACACACGTACGTTCGTTCGTTCATATTCATTTGATTCAATTTGTTTTATGTGATTAGTAAAAATCATATCTTTAGACTTTAATCCCTTTTAGCTTGTGTGCTTTGAGCACTTCTTTCAGTTTTCGAAATACAATAAAGACTGCATGAACTGAATAAGAAAGCCCGATGATTAATTTTGGCCCAAAACCTGTATATATTATTAGTATATACGATTGTTATACTCTCGAAACTCACAAAATTGAAAATAATGACCTCGAAACCCCAAAGTATCGAAAGCTCTCACACTTGGGAGGAAATTATGGCGATAACAACCGATCATGTCTCTCTTACATTCCTAGCTCCCAGGTTTTCTTTTCATCTCATGATTTTCCTCATTTTTTTTTAACAAGACTGTGTGTTTGTGGTTATAAACAAACAATTTTACAAACCAGGAGTGTGGTTCCATGTCTGAAGAAACCAACAAGAGTATGTATCTCCAACTTTGGTACAGTCCCAAAACCAAGATTGACAACAATAAGCAACTTGGGTAATAATAATACCCCTAAATACAACAAGCTTTATCCTCCAAAAGAGGATCTAGTTGCGGAGAAGATGAAAATTGAGGTCAGAGAGGAGTTGAAGAAGTCGGAATCAGATTGTGGTTCTTCAGGTTTGCAAGTGGCGCAACTCACTACTCAGATTAAGCATTTAGCGTCTTGTCTACACAGAAAGGACAAGCAGTCGCGTAGAGGCCTTGTAGGAATGGTGCAGAAACGAAAGAAACTGTTGAAATACCTTAAACGAACTGACTTGGATTCTTACTGCCTTGTCTTGTCTAAACTCAGCCTTCGTGACAAGTTCTAAGCTCTTATCAATATTATTATCTCTGCACTTGTTTTTGGTTCAGGCTTTGATTTGGATGATGCCTATGAAAGTTTTGCTTCCTCATTGCTTTATTTTTCACATGGTTATGAAATTGCTTCTGGATGCAAGCGAATTCATCTTCCCATCGATTCACTCGGATGGACGCTTCATTATTTTTTTCATCTGTTGGGGATCAAGATTAGTTGCGCATGGTTCGTTGCAGACTGCAATGCATCTGGTGGTGCACAATGATGGAAGCATTGTCTGATTCCTATCATCGGTGTTTACTTGTTAATATTTGTCGACACAGTGTCTAACTATCTAACAGAGATTGCCCCCATATAAAATCGAAACTCAGTCCCAATACGGTAAAATCCAACAAATGCGAATGCCAGTCTTGAAATGTTTTCTGAGGTAACAAAACCATTTTGTTGGGCAAGTTTCCATTGATTGTGTATAAATGGGGAAATCGAACTTTTGGTTGCTTCTTACTTGCCACCGTGAGGACATCATGACTACTCTACTAACTCGCAACAAAAAAAAGTTCTATGCTTTATGCTCAGGACACCAAATAAACTGAGGTTTCAGTATTTGTACATGCAAACACGATTTAAACCGCTTTAATCAGGAAGTGAGAGCAAGCTTATAAGCATACAACTCCAATTCCAAGTCAAACTTTTTGGTTATGTGAACGACACAGACAAAGAAACATGTCTCACCTGATATGTTAGCTTGCTCGTTAGCAGCTGAACTGATCTCGCTTCGTCCGGACAAGTTCCAGTGGTAATCTCTCCACTGCCATCTGAAAAAATTCACACATATCGTTTACCCTACAATCCACATCATGAATGAAGAAAAAGCCCGAAAGCAAGTTAGATTCTTTCTCACCCATAGTCTTGGAGCCGTTGGATCAGATTTCGGCTGTGCTTTGGCTAGTTTCGACTTGAAACTTATGGCGATGCATACTTTGAACTCCACTGAGAAAGGGCTGTTCCACAAACATATATTCGATGACAATGATCATCAATCCAGCATTTTAGAGTAAAAATTGATTACAGTCATTTGTTTACCCCCTAAGTAAACCTACCCTGCGAAAACGGATGGACACATCAGAAGTCGAGGAAGTAAAACGTAAATGGGTAGAGTCATATTACGGCACACATCTCCATCTGCAATCTGAACATGAGACGAGAAGAACCACCTGTCTTAGTCTCTAAGAAAAGCATTTCAATATTACTATTTGTTATATAAACTAACTAAAATGGTGATAGTTACCTGTGTAGACTGAATCAAAGAGGTCTCAGTAACAATTCTCTCCCCCACAATTATTGACTCGACACGGATTAGGTGAATGTCGATAGAAGTAATGGGAACTGAAGAAGCTTCCACTGTTAACTCGCCACTGAGTGGATCCTGCAAAGAGCATTGGGTGGCTATTTTCCCGGTAACTCGGAAGCCACCTTGTTTAAATCAATAGTCCTATTAGTTCTCTCATTAACAGATCAGAAAAACGGCTGAATCTCCAAATTAAAGTCAAGATATTGGAAGAACAAACCTGTTTTAATCTCGGGAAGCAACGGATGTCTCTGAGTGTCTTGAGTAATGTAGAAGATAACCAATTCTGGAGGAATTGGCCGCTCAGGAAGATCAACTTCAACCAAAAAAAGACGAGAAAAAAACACATCACAAACTATTCAAATTTGTCCCAAAAACATTCGACAAAGTCAAGAAAAACTACCTCTACCGCTCTCAATTATAAACTCCACTGTCGCAGATAACGGTTTATACAAGTATCCTCGCGTAATATCTGCAGTTAGTAGATACTGTCACAGATTTTTTGCATCAAAATTTTCCTCCAATTCTCAGATGAAAAACAAACACTAAAAATCCTTTTCAACAATGATCAACAAAATTACTAACTTGAATGTTAATATTTGTTCCATGAAAAGTCTCATAGAACTTTTCTACAATGCTTTCTCCAGGCTCCTTCAGATTTACAGAGAATGGTATCTGAAAAGCAACAAACACAAACTTTCAAATCACATTCACAAATTTGTTCTAATGAGACAGTGTAGTAATTTACCTCTGTAGTTCCAGAAGCAAATTTCCCAGAAGATGTAACTTCAATCGTCTTTTTGCTGTAGCTCCAAGAAGTAGGAAAGTTCAAGTTTTTGCTTAAGGAATCAATCAAAAACCCAAAATAAACAAGACCCGAGTAGAGAAAACAAAGCTTACACGATCGTAATGGGTTTGATTACACCATAGAATGACTCTATAACTCCAGCTGATCCTCCACGAACCTAAGAACAATCAGAATGAGGAAAAGCTTTTCTTTTTAAACTCGATTTTAAATTGAATAAGGCTTAATCGAGAATCTGAAACCTGTAAATTGACCGATCCATTGACTGATAAACGTATTCCTTGATGAGAAATCGAAGAAGGAGACTTTATCACAATTTTTCCTTCGACTGGTTCCTGAGTAAATTGACAAATTCGTCTTCATGGGTTCAAACGAATCAT